TCTAAAGCCAAGAATGTAAGAATCTCTCATTATTTCCAACTTAAAATTTTGCTTTGCTTTTAAACATAAATTTTAATGTTTATATTAAATTTTAGTGCTCTGTTACAGATTTTCTACAATCTCCCCCCCTCCCCCCCTAATCTTTTAAGGATCTTATGATGCTTCAAAAGCTAAAAATGTAAATACTTTAGCATATTATATTTGAATTCTATTCTCTATAGTACTCTTTCTATTGAAGTCCAATGTAAAATTATAATTATAAAATAAAAATATTTTAAATTATTAGTCTTAACTTTTGTCACTATTAAAATTGAAATTTTCACAAATAACACTGTGTCTTTAGAAACAAAATGTTTTATGTTTCTTAAGAAATTTTTCACGGCGTTCATATCCACCATGAAACTTTCAATCTACTTGAAGATCTTCACGATAACTTTCTCTGCTCCATCGTGCAGCGTCGATGATAATATTCTTCACATCTATCGCGTGAGTCGCATGCATTTATGTTCCTCCGGTCACTCAATCATGTCGTAGGATGAAAGATCTGAATCGGCACGGGTGACTGGTTGTATATGTAGAATTTTTGATGAGCATAGTGACCGCGGGTATTTTTTATACCCGTGAGTAGTAATATTTTTTTCAGATTTTTTATGTATTAGATCAGGATAGGGCTTTTTGCACATCATGATTTTAACAATTAGAATATTTATCATAATTACTTATAAAATCAAAATATCTTCAATATAAATATTTGCAAAAGTGAAATATGAATATCCATATGAGTAGATAAATTATAAATATTTATAAATAATTATTATTAAAACGATTTCGTTTGAGCATTTCATACAGAAGTCGGATATCCTCCGACTTCGTTTTTATGAAAAATGCAGTATTACGGCTTATTGGTGATATATTTTATTATGATAATTAAGAATTAATAATTAATAATTTTCAATTTTATCTTTCCTTTTGTAATAATATTAAATGATTTAATTAATTTTTATAATTATGAACTTAAAGAAAAATTTGAAATATAATAGATTAGAATTTTTTCCGCAAAAAAATGAAACGTTATGTGCAAGAAGATACTTCGCGACAGGCAGATTTTTGAGTCAAAGCAACAAATTTGAATACTGCTTTCACATTTTCGAAAATATGCTTTGATGAAGAAATTGCTTGAGGTTATTTCTATTAATATTTAATCTAAATTTGATTTTGATTATTTTAGTCAATTATTAAATTTCATAATATCCTTTTTAATAAATTCAACTCTTGTTCCTTGTCTTGCAATTTCAATAATTTCTGAAAGAGTAAAGTCATTAGAGTTTGAAATAAAATAATACAACAGTCCGTTAGATACAAATTACATAAACTAATTATTTTTTTAGTTCAGGATTTTCAGGTTTAACCCCTTCCGTGTTCATTGTCAGGATCTCACTCACGTGCCCAGGTGCTACTTGGGTGGGTGAAAGACATTGGGCACGATGACCATAGTTTGTAGTTTTATAAAAAATTTCTCAGCGACTGACAGTGTGTTAGCGTATCGTGCACGACGTATTTTCCGCATGTGTGTGTGGTTAGGATGTGGAATTGCGTCGTTTCTATTGTTCCATTTATAAGATGAATCATTTAAAATATTTATACATTAATTTGAAGTATGACTTTACTATAGTAACATCTATTAAATATAAAATATCATAATTATATTATTAATTATAATAATGATTCCAATTCAACTTGCACATTTCTACAGAATTATATATATTTTTTCTTAGTTATTAATCTCACATAGAATTGTAAATATATATACGTTTTACGCAATGGTCGTTAGCCATTGTCAGTCGATTTCAGGAAAATGGTACGTAAATTAGAGTGTGAAAGTTGTGCGTTAAGCTCGGGTGTCGGAGGCGTCCCGGGACGTCCTCTCTAGTTTAGGTCTCTGCGCCCGAGTGGTATGTGTGAGAACCGTGGAGTGAATGTGTTGGTGTGCCTGTTTTGCCATTTTTTAAATATAGGGCGACTGNTGTGTTTAATTATAAGTAGGTAGGGCCGGGCAGGTTGGCACAGTCTCTGGTCGCGTGTCCCTTTTTCGCGTGTCCAACCTGTTTCAGGAAATCTAATTTGAAAAATCGACAGTGAAATTGGTACAAATGGACCATGCCACTTGTTTCTGGTTTTACTCTTCGATTTTTCGAATTTAGTATCGCGGTCGTGGTCGCGGATAGATCGCAAGTAGGTCCCGAAACGAACGTTTGTGTAGGTATTGCTCGAGCATACACATGCGAACGGACAACGATCACTATGATCGATGATCGTCCATGTGTATTGAGGTCAGCTTCAGCGGTTTATCTTTTCATTTCATTTTTATAAGTTATTTTTTGATTTGCGATTAGACAGACTCGAGCTAGATGTAAATTTCAGCGGGCATTGCGCTCGAAGAAAGAAGGGGCTAGAAGCCGAAGAGGCCCGGCAAATTGCCACGAAGAAGGTCACAACAAATGGCGTCTCATTCTCTGGATCAGAGCATGGGAAGTCATTCTCGTTACTACTTTGTCACTATGCTCTTTTAGTATTTGTAGTTGTATTTTTTTTTTCTTCTCCATCATCTTCTCCATCATTGTTTTGGGCAAATCGCGGCTTTTCTTGTCAGTGTTGCAAGAGATCGATTACGGGTTGAGTTAGAGTTGCGAAATAGTTCCGCGCTTGTTTATTAGTGTTGCGAAAAATTGATTACAATTTAAATTAGAGTTGCGAAGATATGATAATCGTGTTTGCTTCAAAGTTGCGAATTGTGATATCGCGATTGTCTTTTGCAGCTTTAATTGTTAATTTTTATGGTTGTCTTAGCGTTATACATAGTAATATTTATTTTGCTGCCTGTTTTAAATTAAATTATAGAATTATTGCTTTTAATTAATTTTAGAATATTTTAATTAATTTTAGAATATTTGAAGTAGCTTGTTATTCATGCAGTAATTTTTTGCACTCCTGTTAATAATTTTCATTGAATTTACTTTTACAGTTAGTGTTGCAACACTATTTCATCGCGATTTCCAAATACATTTGCTCATAGTGTTGCGATAATGAATGATCGCGTTTTTTTTGAAATAGCGCTGCGTTTACAAAATGCCCAATTTCTTTCTCTGAATTCGTGGAAGGTTGTTTCTCCTCCTGGATCACCTGATGCAGCTACAAGAGCTGTACAGAAGTGGTCATTCATCAGCAACCTTCAGCATGGTCGTACTGAACGCGTCGCAATTAGTGTTGCGTATCTCTGAAGACGAGTGCATAAATTAATAGCGTTGCATACTTATTTCCGGGAGTTTGAGCTATATGACGAAGCATTCTTCGCGTTGGCTTTTGAAAATTTTCCTATTTCATGATTAGTAGTACTAGTACTAGTGAGTTAGTGTTGCGAAACAAGATACGGTTTGTTGCTCGGGTTCATGTCGAATGTAGATTTGACAATATAGCCTTCTGGTTATTGTATTGAGTAGCTCTTATTGAAATGTTTTTTAGTAGTTGTTTTAGTAACTATATCGTGGCTTTTTGCCAGTGATCCTTCTGGCTGCCGTATCGCGATTTCTTTTTCAGTAGCTCTTCTGGCTACTGTTTTAGATTTTATTTGTCAGTGACTTTTCTGGTTACTGTGTTAGATTTTTTTTCAGCATCTACTGTTATATTTTATATGTACTCTATACTATTATAACTTTAGTATTTTTAATTTACTGTATGAAGAAAAATCATCGCAATTCCGTAAAACATGGGTATAGCTCTTTATGATACACAGTAGAATGATTTCGATTAGTTATTAGCTTCACATTTCGGTATTGAAAATTTGACAACGCTTTCAAAAGTCATATTTCTGGCGTATTCACTATTTGATCAATTTCGATCGTTTCACTTGATGTACATAGTTCTCCAATTCACCGCTGTTTGAACGTAGAGTGCGCTGAAAAACCACTGATTTTTTTAGTATATCGGTATTTCAGAGCATGGAACACGAAGTCCTATAAAATGCAAGGTTTATTCATGTACCTCGTATCTGCCTTAAAATGTTTCTTATGTCCTCTGTAATTTTTAATGCAAAGATAAGAATTACAATCGACCACAGGTATATACCTCGTCGGTCACCTCGTCTGTGAACCAACTCAATCGTTACAGATGATAAAGTTACTAACACGGACTAGGTACCATCTGTAGATATAGTCGAACACATTTTAATGGGTCAATTACTCGAAGAGTTAGAGATGTGATATCGAGGTTCATAATTTTCTCGCATAGCGCGATATAAGATCGTGTGAAAGATGAAAAAAGACAGTATTTTTATGTTCGTACTGTCCTTGCTTTTGTCATGTATAAATTTCATAAAATTAAAATTAAAGTTTTTTAATACTTTTAATACTTTTAAAGATATATATATATATATATTTTTAAAGAAGAATGTCGAGCTGCAACATATTTTTTGATTTTGTGAGTCAAAAAATATATTATTTCGTTTTTTGTTATATATCATTTCGTTAAAAAACCCTTCTATTTACAAAAAAAGTATTACTGCCATATGGCCCACTCTGTACTGAATATGTATATATATAATAATTTTTGTTGACAAAATTTTTTCATATTCTCCAAAAACAATGAAAATATCTGAAGTGATAAAATAAAATATATTTACTTGATCCTGGGAAATTCCGGAGTTTATCTGTTAAAAATTAAAAAAAAAAAAATGAATACTATGATCAAAGATAGACAGATTAGAAAGATTAAAGATAAAAGTAATAATTATTCACAATGATGTTTATAACGCGTTGCGTTAGAAGACCATATTTTTCTCATTTTCAGTATACATTTAATACTTTTAGTGACTAAAATGAAAATATTATGAGCGTACATGTGTGTACAGGCGTTGGATAAATATATCGTTGAAACAGCGATAATACGATATCGTACGTTCATCTTTGTTAGAATCCCCTACCAAAGTCGCGGCAGGCTATATAAACTCTGTGACCGTAAAATAGCGTAGTTTTCAATCGTTTCTGTGATATAATATAACGTAATTTTGAGTCGTTAATTTCTTATACTACTAATACGAAAATGAACAGCAAAGTTGTCACGTTATTCTTGGTTGTTGTCTGCTGCTTTCTGTCATGGCATCAAGCATCAGCCAAAATAGGACCACGTAAGGGACTTTATTATTTTTGCATTTATATTGTCCATTTGTTAAACTTGCATTTAAATTCATCGTTTGAAAAGCTTTGTTAAGTTAGTTGCTGGAATTTTTTTTAGAGTTTTATAGGTACGACGAAATTTAGATTTTATTTGGGCAACTATGAAGTTTAGATTCTGTTTGGATAGAATCAATTTCTAACGAAATAATGTAGTCGATTGAAGAATTAGCTTATACTTAGATATCTCGTTATTAGCTTATACATAGATATCTTGTTTCCTTTTTTTCCTATCAGTAAACTCATTCCATTAGATAGTAACTTCTGCAACTTTTATGAAATAATGTTATAAATAACTTGTTGCTAACTTGATTATTTAATCTCATATTACACGAGACATAAAATAATTTTTATACTATCGTTATATGTAAGCAATAGTTGTCAAGAAAAACAACATTGATAACATATGTTATGTAACATCTATATAACATTAGATATAACATAACATTATTAACATATATATATATATATATATATATATATATATATATATAAAACATTATGTAACGTTTATTCGAATATTGATTATGAAATTTTCAAAAATATTAGGAAAATGATCTGAGTCAAAATACGTTGTAATGAAGAATTATTTCGAAGAAAGGATGAAATGATTGAATATTGACAATATGTCATTTAATTCGTATAGACGTAAAGATCAGACTCTCAGAAATTTAATAATGGACATATCCGTTTTTAATAATAAATATTTCCTCATCATTGACAGAATGTCTTTTACCATTGGATGTTGGCGTATGCAGATCTAGTCAACCGAGATACGGATACAATCCAGAGACGAATCAGTGTGAATTATTTATGTATGGAGGTTGCGAGGGTAATGAAAACAATTTCGAAACTCTGGAAAAATGCCATGAAATATGTTCGTAGATATCAAACAGATGGATTATTAAAAATGGTTAAATTATATATACAATGGCTTACAGAAGCATTTGAACAGACATGATCAACGTATGCAAAAATGAAATTATACATGTACGTGCTTATATGTAAAAAAAAAATTAATTGTTCTCGAACATTTTATAAGGATATGCCATTCATATTTATAAATCATAAATAAAAAAAGATTAATAAACAATTTTGACAATTCACACGAAGTGATAGTCTCAATATTGGTGAAAAATGATTGTATGTAAAGTAAAATAATACACTGATTATTACACACTATTGTCGCAACAGTTTTTGATTCTTTCCTCTATCAGCCAATTTGTCAGTTTCATTTGTTGCTCAAGAAACAGTACTTCGGTGAGTGATAACATCGCTTTTATCTGTGATTTGATATGACAGTTGTTAATTATAATCGTCACTTGCACTTCAATTCGCGTTATTCAAGGAAAATTTTATTTTTGTAAATTCATGATTAATACAATATCAGCCGTCGAAATGCGAGGTTCGAAAGTGTTGGCGACAATCGTTGCTTCTATCTGGTAAACTTCCTTTTGACTATCATGACAGTTTTGATACGAACTCGTTATTACGCGGAAGTATGCGTTCTTAGATTCATTTTCGAAAGCGTATGCATGATCGAAGTGTTCTCCAGTGGTCGTTTTGACTGACAGACAGTTCCCTCGGCATTCCCCACTGACAGTCTCTTTGCCGCGATTGAACATTGGAAAGTTTCGAAGCAGTAATGAAAAGAACGGTCGCAAGTGCATGTCATGTAATATCGTCCGACTATTATGCGTGTTCTGTTTGTTGAACCGGAACCGTACGTGTCGCCAGTGATCCCGGCTTCCACTCATGCTTAAAATTATCCAATTTCTCTATTATCGTTGTAACCATGATACGTGCGTGCCGCGAGAATGCTTATTATTTGCCACACCTTAGCCGAAGAAAATACTTTAACGATCGCATACCGGCTACCATATTCGTTGTCCGTTTATAATAGCGGTCGTGCATCACCGTTTCGCTGGCTTTTTTTTAACTAGTAGTACATATGATGTTACGTCGTCTTGTTATGTGACGCGTTAACAGGCCAACGACCACTTCGACAACTTTTTTTTGGTACCCGCTTAATGTCTTCTCGTGTTAACACGTTAAGCCGGACTGCGGCGAAAGAGGGCTCTGTGCACGGAGAAATGAGAATAAATAAAATTATTTAACAACCGAATGAATCTAAGTTCCATTCATTCTTGTCCGTTTGCGCTTTTGTTAGACAAGCTGTTGTTCTCGTTGTTTTACTTCGGTCACTCCGAATCGCGATGCTTTATGAAATTAACTCGCGAGCAATCGAATGTTATCGTGGCGTGTGTCATTGTGTCAAAGGATCTCCATTCAACAACCTTATCGAGCCAACGAGCGTAGCGTGTTTTGCTCATTTCCCAAGATTTTATTGGCGCTCTGTTTACGCTTTTGTCGACTGCTTTCGGTCCTTTCGCGAAAAGCGTGGAAACTCCGAGCAAGTAAATTTGTAATCGAATTCGAGATTTAGAAAATGTCGTGCGCTGTTTTCTTTTTCGAAACGATTCATGCTTCGTGAAATTTTTCGTATTTCTGTGAATAACGTTTCAAAACTTGAAATGTTTCAAATTCTGTCATTTTCACGATGCACACACTTACGTAAGACGGGAAGAGTAACGAAAAATTCGACAGGGGAGAATCTATTTCGGAACGATGACGACGTAGGGAACTACCTGAAACCATCTATCTCCGTCAGGAACGGTGATTTACATACAACAAGGCACCGCAATGATTGCCTTCAGAATACATTAGCTCACATGCGCTGGATACAAGGGAACAAGCAAACAAAGCACAACCGAACTCGGACAACCTGTACCAGCACCGAAGACATATCGGAGGAGTAACAATCGAATTCAAATCGCCGCCGGGGCTCAATTGCCGTCGCGCTTGAAAACAGCACAACGCTTTCAGCATCGGTTTTCTTGCGCAATGTTTTACTATAAAGCGGGATCGCGCACGCACGCACGCACGCACGATAAATACACGCGGATAAATTCCCTCTTTGAACTTGTAGCCGTTGATTCAGTCGAGCAATTTGTTGAAATCGAAATTTATCCTGCCTCGGTCGTGTAACGTTGGCGTTTTCATTTGCCAATGGAATCATGGCGATCTACCTTGCAAATATAATTTTCCTTCTACGTGGCGTTGCAACGCAACACGTTGGCGCAGCGTGGTATATGTGCACGCGTGACTAAGTTTCCGCGGCCGTAGATTAAGTAGCGAACAAGCCCGGCCGGCCTCTATCGCGGTCTCTCCCCTATTAGAATTACTTTCAAGCACCCATTGTGATCTGCTCGTTTCCATAGATCGCTGGCACAAAAGAAATATAGCGTAGGACAGGGCGATAGCGCCTCGGGCTATTGCCACACACGTGGCTGATAACCCGATCTTCTCGGAGCAAAGACGCTGTAATTGCATGGGTTCCGCATTTTTCCACCCACATACAGAGAGACCCCACCCCCCGGACCCCTCTATCACCGTCCCTTCTTTCCCTTGAGCTTCGTGCTTCCATACTCGCTGCCCTGTAACGCATTCTCTTCTCCAACGTCTGTTCGCCATTGCTATTGCGCCTAGTATACATTACTTATCGGTGCCAGAGTTGGGCATATTTTATTCGAACAACGAATAACGAATAAATCTGTCAAATTTATTCGTAAATAACGAATAACGATTTTATTCGAGGAAAAATTGTTCGTTATTTACGATTTCATTCGAACAAAGATTATTCTTTAATATGATAACATGACTTTATTCGTTATACGGAGTACAATGATGAGTAAATGTACCGAATTGATTATTTCGAGGTTTCACAAGAAAATGGCTTCATAGCCTCTTCTCTGCAGCCACATTGGACATTATTCGAATAAATTCTTTGAATAAAATTTTATTCGATATGTTATTCGAATAAAACTTTACTCGAAGAATTTATTCGAAATGTTATTCGAATAAAATTCTATTCCAACTCTGATCGGTACCAGCTTCGGGCGTCTGATCCAATCAACGATCTACTTGCGGTTCATTCATTCTTCTTCCATGCGGTTCGTTCGTTCCTTTCGTAATACCATGATCTCTCTGCGTGTTGTAGTTTCGTCAAGTCAGTTCGACGTCTCATCGACTGTACGAATCCGTACGTCGGTCGAATATTTTGTTTTGTAATTACTAGACCTTAGGACGACAGGTCTGATCTGAATAAAAGTTTTAAACATCCCTTCGGTTGTGATCGTTCAAAATCTACAATCGAAAACGTGAAAACGCGTGCACGGAACGCGTAAAATTCAGCTCGAACTGTTTCGCACTATATTGATCTATAGCGTTTGATAAATCGCCACTATAGCCGAGGGGATAGCGAAGTTCGCGTCTTCCTGCGAGATTCACGAAGCGATATTAACGATGAAGCCGTTGGTGAAATTTACGAGTCACGAAAAGTATAAAACAGCGTGTCACTATAATACCGGTGGCATTATTGCCGATAAAACGACAGCGTCAACCGGGGTGCCACGCCGAATCGTGAGCGAATCGTGGTAATCGAAGCAATTTTGTCGTCTAAACGGATACAAATAGTATAGGCGGTAATGCAGTGACACGGTTGTGTCCCGGCCGCTCTGTACCTTCATGATTTAATGGACGTCGAAGTCGGTGGTGCACAGGTAACGGGTGTTTTACGGTAATATTATACGGAGTTTGCGCTCGGCCATGCGCTCTCATGGACGTGGCGGCGTTCTGCTTGAATCGGTGAAAATCGATCGCCTGATTCTGCTCTCAAACGCCTTTTCATTATATCGTCTCTCTGAAAGGAAGGGAAGAGAAACAAGTCATTCAAGTATACACATAGTAACTAAATATCCAAATTGTTTGAAATGATTCGAACCTTCGCCAAATCTCACGAAGCCGTGTTAGGTCTCTAGTTATCTTGTAGTATCGAACGTTGGAGAGTGACGTGCAGTAAAGGGTGAAGAGCACAGAGTGAAGACGAAAAGGAGGCTGCTCAAAGTGAAATGCGTTCTTTCTGGAACTGACGTTCATTATACTTTCTTTGAAAGAGAGAGAGAGAGAGAGAGAGAGAGAGAGAGAGAGAGAGAGAGAGAGAGAGAGAGAGAGAGAGAGAGAGACAGGAAAGAAAGAAAAAGCATTTTACAAAAGACGTCGTTATTCAAGTGACGATGAAACTATGTAGCCACTTAAATATTCAAATTGCTCGAAATGACTCGAAACTTCGTCAAATCTCACGAGGCTGTGTTAGGTCTCTATTATGGAGAATCACACGCAGCAAAGGGTGAAGAGCGAACAGACTGAAGACGAAAAGGTGCGTGTTCTTTCTGGAACTGGCGTTAAAAGCCAAGTAGTCTGTGATCCAAGTTTCTGGGAACCGTTCGGAAGAGACGAGAACGACACGCGCACTCCGAGGGAATTTCCATAATTAGTGGGTGGCAAAGGTACAACTATTAGCAGGCGGAAGTTGGCAAGTTGCTAACTGATTTGCATTGAAACGTCGGGCACATCGTATCAGCATGAGGTCCGTCCTACTTTCGTTATTACTTCATCAGAGCGTGCTTTCTTTGGCTGCGTCCGATGCACGGGAAGTTAATTCGTGTCAGGGGAACGCGTTTTCGAGGAGCAATCGCGCGAAAGAAGTTGCGCCGCCACCGCCGCCGCCGCCGCCGCCGCCGCCGCCGTTGCTGCTGTTGAAGGACACGCGTGATCGTCTGGTTTATGGGGCAATTTGCGAGGCCGAGGAAGGAGATCAAAATTAACGATCGATATATAAATTTGCGTCTTGTCGAATATATCCTTTATTGAACGCTATATTCATTTTTCGGAATTTACATGGACTAATTTAGTTCAGTTAACGACTTTAAAGTACGAGAAATCGCCGGAAAACGGGGACGTATGGCCAACTTATCAGCCTCACGCCACTCTATCTTCTTAACGGCGTTTCGATCGTAAAATTCTTTGTATTTAATGACGCTCGTCCAATATTTTGGGCGATAACGGTGTCCATTTGGAGTGCTTTACGTCGACTTTTACAGAGTTTAACGTGATGAAATTGTTAATCATGAATATGGAAGGAAGGTAGATAAATGAAATAGATTTCTAAAGGTTAATTTAAAGAGAAAAATCCAATTAGAATCGAGAATGCTGTGGTACCACGAAAACATTTTGGTATTGTTTTACAATTTGTAACGAATTAATTTACAATTTGAAACGAA